GAAAGGTGCTGGATAACTATCAGCAGTCTCTCCTCACACTTGCCTTGCGAGGAGCAAGACTTAACACTGCAGTCACTCTGCCAAGAACAGATTCCTGTTTTGGTGACAAACCCGATTTATGTTTATAAAAAGGAAATTGAAGATGTTTTTCAAAGGAATACACATTCAGATATGCCAGATCCTAAAAATAGACTGTAGAAAGAAGCCAACTGAATTTTTTGATTATGGTGCATTTCTTTGCTCTTTTTTCCTTTTTGTTTCAAGGGCTTGATTAAACATAGGAAAACACAGCAAACTGTTTTTCCACCTTGTTCCCAAGACAGACTACTGTTAACTGATAATATTACAGCAGGTATCTGGACTGAGATATTATATATAAATTTATATATCCATCTAAATGCCACTAATAACACCAAACATTGGGGCTCTTGAAAAAAATCTAGAAACCATCTAGAAAAGATCTAGATGTTGGGAATTTAATGCAACCCAGTGATACACTTTGGTGATGGGAATCTCCATTCTGGAATCTTCTAAAGTCCACTGCTAACTGGACTTTCTATTCAGCAGATCTTACAATAGAAGGATATCACTTGTACCACCCAAACCAGTCTACTGATGATGCTGTATCCCTTGCCCTTCACCTGGCCCTGTCCCACCTGGATAAGAAAGACTCTTATGTAAGAATGCTGTTCATTCACTTCAGTTCAGCATTTAATACAATCATCCACCAGAAGCTGACAGAAAAATTGAGCTTTAACACCTCCCTTTGTAACTAGATTCTGGACTTTCTGACCAAGAGACCTCCGACAGTCCGGATCGGTAATAACACACCGATCACCATGTAGCACCATGAGCACTGGAACAGCCCACTGCTGTTCACACTGATGACTCATGACTGTACTGCCAAGCACAGTTCAAACTGCATCATCAAGTTTGCCGATGACGATAGTGGTGGACCTCATTAGCAACAACGATGAGTCACCATACAGAGAGGAGGTGGAGCAACTAGTGGACTGGTGTACAAACAACAACCCATCTCTGAATGTAAACAAAACAAAAGAGATAATCATTGACTTCAGGAGGGCCCACGCTGATCACTCCCCACTGTACATCTAACGGTTCCCCTGTGGAGACAGTAAGAAGCACCAAGTTTCTTGGTGTACACATTACAGATGACCTCACTTGGTCCCTCAACACCACCTCCCTAGCCAAGGAAGCACAGCAGCGTCTCCATTTCCTGTGGCGACTGAGGAGGGCAAACCTTCCTCTGCCCAGTCTTACCACTTTGAGAGCATCTTGACCAGCTGTGTCACTGTTTGGTTTGGGAACTGCAATGCTTCAGACCTCAAGACCCTGCAATGAATTGTGGAGACAGCTGAAAAGATTACTGGAGCCTCCCTGCCTTCCATTTCTGTCACCCATCACAAACGCTGCTTACACAGGGCCTCCAGTATAGTAGATGACCCCTCCCACAAACTCTTTGCCTTCTTACTATCTGGAAAGATATCCCAGTATACGGGCCAGCTCCACCAGACTGGCTCCTCAACACCCTGGAATCTACTTGCACCCGCCCCAATTCCAGAAACAGGGTTTAAATCCCCCCCCCCCCAGTGCGTTGTGTATATTGTATTATGTATTTGCACTATCTGCACTTTGCACTATGTGTATCCTGTCTACAATGTCTATGTCAGTGTCCTGCCTGTATTTGCACCGTGGACCAGGAGGAACAATATGTCGCTCCACTGTATACTTGTATATGGCTGAAATGACAAATAAACAAACTTGAACAAGATACCAGGACCCTACATGCCCCAGAGAACAGTAGTTAACACATCCCGAACGTTTGTTTACATTCGCCACTTAGCACAGCTCTCCAGAGTCATCACAACCAGGCAGTACCCAGTCACAGGCTGGGAACACTTTTCGGATCTAAAAACCTCCTTCACCATCTCTCCCTGCCCTGCATGGTACCCCATCTCCAATGCTGAAGTGACAGTCATTTATCCCAGTCATCAATGTAGTTTTCCAACGTTCTCTTGTCTTATTTTATAGACCTTACTGTGGTCTGCTGTTCTTATCAGGCATATAGGATTAAAGAAAGCAGCGTTTAACAGTAAATCTAAAATTTTGGAAAGAAGACAGCAGACGGTGTGAAAATGCAGGTTTTCTTCTTGCTTAGAAATTCAACGGCCATTCAGTGGTCCGATAAAGAGATTACAGTGCTCTATCGCAGTCTGGAACTGGATGCCTGCAAATGTGCTGTGCCAGCAGTTTTTTAGCCTTTCATACGCTCCAGCACAATGGAGATTAATTATGACCAACTGCTCAAGTTGCATCATGACGGCTGCCCCTGCCTCACAGCTTGCATGCTGTCCAAGGGGCAATAATCAAGCAAGTATGGGGTGATAGTTCTGATTACCTACAGACTGCTTCACAGTGCCAGAGCAGAAGAGCCATACTTCAGTGAGTGATGCATCTGAAGTCTCTGACCACAGTGGTGGAGTCTTTCTGAAGCCGGCACGTGACATCACAATGGACAGCTGACCTCATGTTTGCTTTTTTAAAATGACGTCACACTGTGGTGACCACAGGCCCATAGTGGCCTGGCTCTTGTCCTGTAAGCCTGGTTTCTCAGGATCATCCCACCACACACCACGCAAAGTGACCACTCTGCATGTTCCACGGATTCTGAGTACCAAACAAACGCTTAAAGAACAGCGTCCTGTTCCCTCCTAGTGTGTCCCCTAGTCCTGATCCTGCAGGCTCCTCTAACAGTACCCTCCATCTCCCATTGTCCTTTACTGTCTCAAGTCAGTAAGAGTTAACGGCATGATCACAAACTCAACCAGGCATGACACAAGATAATCAAAATGACAATGACAATGACTATTCTTTCGAACGGGCCACACACTTATACTGTAAATAGAGGATATTCTCAGGAGATCTGGTCTTTAAACACCTAAATAGACCAGAGAAATGTATGCAGAACTGGAGGATTTCCCTCAGAGCTTCTCTAATGCACCACTGTTTTACTACAGGGGGTGATAGGAAACAGGCGAGTACCCCCAGATGCACTACAGCGTGTCAGATATTTTCTCCAAGAGGGAGTAGGTGTGCGCGCGGGGAGGGGGGAGGTCTTTGACGATGCTCTGTGAAGCGTGGCGGCAGCACATTAAGGGCTCTGGGGATACCCCTCCACCTTTTGTTTGCCTGGAGCCGCCCCTCCGTTCGGCATCATCGAGCCGACGTGCTCCGGCCTCGCTCCTCCCCCAGACCGAGGGATCAGACCCCGGCTGTCCCTGAAGTACACAATCCCAGCCCTGCGACTCCGAGCTGGAGGCCATCCTTCAGGAAAACGACCTCCAGCCCAGGAGTTCTCGTCTACATCAGGGACATTTTCATTTTCGGGAATATCCCGACGTCCACTGCGCTGAGCTCCGTCTTCGGCGGATCATACCATTATGGGAAAAAAAACTAGCTAACATAACTATGATGTTGACAATAACATCAGGCACAGAACTGGAGCAAAGATAAAAGGCTTTTAGACCTTGCAACAGAAGCTTCTAGGTCTTCTGCACGTCAGTTTCATCTGAGAATGTGTCAATCCAGGCAGTTTAGGACACATGTACTGCACTCCTCAGCCTTTTCCATACCCAGCTCCTAACCTCATCACAATGCAGGAGACAGGACACTGGGAGCGCTCCTGACGAGGGCTGAAGGATTGAAGGCAGGAGGTCTTACGTGTTACAAAGGTCAGCAGCCCTTTCCCCACACACACACATACACAAAAACATAATTTATCGTTATTTCTAGTTTCGCTTGCGCAGCGGGGAAAGTTAATGTGCAGCCAAGTCTAAGTAGAGCAGGAGTTAGGGGCAAATTCTAACCCTCGCTTTCAAAAGACAGGGCCGAGCTCCTGCGATTAAGGGCAATTACGTCTCACAAGCTCACAAGACTTCGGAATCTTTGCGTAATGAAATGTTTATTTTGCACGTCGAAATTACTTTGCGGTCGTGTAAAAAAAAAAGCAATGATACCACACGAAAAAATCCCCACCATCCTTCTGGTAAACCAAAGGAAGAACAAACCGTGTTTTGCTGGCGAGAAGGTGCCGTGCTCAGAAAAGGCACTGAATGCGTTACTAACTGTATTGCCAACAACTAACGACATACAGCTGTGCTTTTTAACACCCTGTAACTTCTCCTGGGAGTTATCTGCTACAATTAAACTGCATCGCAACAAAAAAAAATTAAAAACCTTCAGCAGAAAATGAGCCATTTTTATACATTTCTACGTCATTAATATTTCAATCAATCAGAACATGTCTGATCTTTCACAAGACTCGCAAGATTTGTATTCCCTTGTCATAATCTTTATTCTCAGACCAACTCCATTAAACAAAGTGTCTTACTTTATCGATTCAAGCTTCCGACTTTGGATACCAGAAGCGCAAAATGTCACAATCCCAAATGAATACCAACAAATGAGATTAGGAGGGCTTTCAAGTTGGATACAAGAGTGCCCAATTTCGCACCTCTGTGAAGGGCCGGCAATGTTTGTGATTGTTCTTTTGTTTTGTACCCGAAGAGCGGAGTTTATATTTCAACAACAACAAAGATGATAACCCGTGTAAGTGACAGAAGACAGAGTGAAAGGAGACCCTAAACTCTGTGCTTGCATTCAGTTGCCTTTATATCAAACGCGTTTTCCCCATCGAGGAGAAATTTTAAAAAAACCGAGGTCACTCGCACCCAGCACTTTAAGGGAGATAAATCTCACGTTGGTGGAAGCGATGCCCACTTTTTCTACATAAAAACGTCCCCGTTTCGATCTCCAATAACTAAACCGAATGAAAAGTCTATACTTTCATTTTCTTTACACAAAGGAACACCTCACAAACAAAACGCTTCCGAGCCCTACACCAGCTCCAAACACAAAAGGAAAGGCTTCTTGTACAGGTTTGCGCCGCAAACGCGACTGGGAAGGATGAGGTTTACAACCTGGGGCAGGCGGAGAAGTCTTCTCCCCTTCCCCGTCGGCCTCGGGGGGGTCCGTGCCTCTTTTATCTCGCAGAAGCGAAATGTCTCTCCGGACTAAGAGGTTACAAACCCCGTGCGTGGAAAACTTGTGCTTCACCACACCAGTGAGCTGCGACACCAAGCCTGCGCTTCATCGCTCTTAAAAAAAAAACAACGCACTTCCCGCGAACCGCCCCCAAAAAGATTATCAATACCGACTGTTCAATATCTGCAAAAGCCAACCTGGAGTACTGAGTCGGGGGGCGATAAATGAAAATGAGGTTGTAGGTGTTGCAAGTTTTACCGACGCGTGTTTGAACGGTGGGCACCATCATGTTTTGAATGATGCGTCTGAAACGCACTACCTCACCCTTTAGGTAATGCAAATTAAAACGCATTTCAAACGACTGCCGTTGTACCAGGCTTTTGATAACCTCACTGTATTTATCGTACTACGACGCGTGTAGCATTTAAACGTTCAGGTTTCAGCGGCGGAAGCGATAGATTCGGCGCGTTGTAGCGTTGCCTGTTAATACCAAGCAGACCGCCTCTCTCAGGATTAACCCGTTTACTCGTCTATATTTAGATCATCGGGTTTTACGCAGTTATTATTTCATATTTGTTCTTCCCAAGGTTGTTTATCCTGGAAGGGGGGGTAGTAGTGGTGTTGAGGCAGGTATTTTAAATGATTCATGGATGAAAATGGCGCCGTGTGTGTAAAAAAAAAAA